TTTTTTTTTGGTATCTTAGTTTAGTTTCTGCCTTCTGACATCACTAATTTTGCCAGCGTTCTCCCTCTCGTGTTGCTCTCGTTTGCTTATCTAACCCAATTCACTCTCCCACGATTCCGTCTTGTGTCTTGAAACCCTTTGAAATTTAGCCTCAAACAGGCAAAAAGTGTCTCAACTTTACTGTCTATCAGACATAATATCAGAGGAAAAGGAAAATCAACATGTCTGTGCTCTGAGGTCCCATTCTGGGAGCTTTTTAGCTTGATTTTAAATCAAAACGTGCAGTGCAACTCAGTCTTTTCTCTTAAAGAAGCTTGATTAGTGTTATTAGTGTTATTTAGTGTTATCACTGCTGATTAGTGTTATTTTTTAGTGTTATTAGTGTGTTTCTTTGTGTTATTAGTGTTATCACTGCTGGTTAGTGTTATTTTTTAGTGTTATTAGTGGGGGTTTTTGTGTTATTAGTGTTATTTAGTGTTATCACTGCTGATTAGTGTTATTTTTTAGTGTTATTAGTGTTTTTTTTTTAGTGTTATTAGGGTTATTTAGTGTTATCACTGCTGATTAGTGTTAATTTTTAGCGTTATTAGTGTTTTTTGTGTGTTATTAGTGTTATTTAGTGTTATCACTGCTGATTAGTCTTATTTTTTAGTGTTAATAGTGGGTTTGTTTTTTTAGTGTTATTAGTGTTATTTTGTGTTATTACCGCTGATTAGTGTTATTTTAATCTTTACGTTTTAAGAGGAGCTTCCCGCTCTTTCTCCTGTTGGGTTATCGTATCTGTTCCTGTTAAAGAACCAGGAAATATCCCTAATTCCCGCTAACATGTCCCTGTTCCCTTGGGTGTGTTGGTATGAGTAGAGATCCTGTAGTTCGTCGCCATCTTCTCGCAGTCTCTGCTGCCTCTAACTACTTTTTTTATGTCGACAGAGAGAGTATAAGAAGTCTTTGGAGCAGGAGATAAAGGGCAAGGGAATGTTGGCTCTGGCCACGGACACCCCGGACTTCATGAGGGCGAGAAATGCCACCGACATCCTCAGCCAGGTCGGAATCTCAACTCTATAGCTCCTAATGGAGACGTTCTGAGATAGTTTTCACACCCTGGTTTGGTTAAAAAGTCTTGACGTTGGTCGAATAAAACCTGAGATTAACAGCAGCTCAGATCATTTTAAGGCAAGGCAAGTTTATTTGTGTAGCACATTTCAAAGTGCTTAACAGAGAATTTAAAAGCAGAAAAACAAGAAAAGAAAAATACTCCAAAATTAGACAGATGAAAAGTGAAGGGTGCAGAAATTCCCAGTTAAACAGAAGTGTTTTCAGCCTGGATTGAAACACTGTCAGAGTTTAAGCCTGTCTCACATCTTCAGGAAGACTGTTCCAGATTTTAGGAGCCTGGAACTGAAATGAAGCTTCACCTGGTTTAGTTCTGACCATATGTATCAAATATGATACATTTGGCATAGTCATTTGTATAGGAAAACAGGAAAATCTACACATGGGAAAGCAGGGAAATTTGTACAATAGCAGCATATCTGCATCAGGAAGTCTGAAAAATTGTCCATCAGAGTCCAGATCTCAGCCGTGATGGATGCAGTGGGGGGGTGGGAGTGTGGGGGGGGTCAGTTTATAACATTAAAGGTACTGACCGATGCTTTTGGTTGCTCAGACCAAGTACAAGCAGACGGCTGAGATGGACAGGGCGAGCTACACCACGGTCATCGACACCCCCGACATCATCCACGCCCAGCAGATGAAGAACATCGTGAGCCAGGTGGGACCAGACCCAAAGACCCCCACAAACCCCCACAAACCCCCAAAATCTGACTCCAGATGAGCGGGCGCTAACGGCTAACCCCTGTGTCCGAAACAGAAAAAGTACAGAGAGGAGGCGGAGAAGACCATGTCCCACTACGTTCCGGTTCTGGACACCCCGGAGATGCAGAGAGTCCGGGAGAACCAGAGGAACTTCAGCACCGTAAGTACCCGAAACCAAGTGGGCCCGGCTCGTTTTTTAAATTGTCTCAGATGTTCTTTGTCCGTGTTAACCCGATTCTTTGATTGGAAACCTGAGAATTAGCCAGAGTAGATCAAGAGTATAAAAAATGACATTTATTGGGTCACAGTTAAGTGTATCAGCTGGGCTCTAACAGACAAAAACCTCTCAGTGGGCAAAGACTGGACACAACCAACCATTGGCCAGTTACCTCTGGGCACGAACAGGCCAGGTCCTAATTAACGCAGATGACAGGAATGTGCTAACAAATGGTGTGTGTGTGTGTGTGTTGACCTAAAGGTGGATCTAATGTAACAGAGAAAGAAAAAGAGAGAAAAGAGAGTCTGTGGACACAGCCAGAGACTTTAACACAAAATAAAGAAAATAAAACAATCAGTAATTTACATAGATCATGTGATAGCATAAAAATAGCATTTTTAGCCAAATCCTAACATCCGTCTGGGGGTTTTTTTTTGGGTCTCTGCCCGCTTTCAGGTGCAGTTTCCAGGCTTTTTCCGGACGTTCTCTGTTGTTCTGAGTTGTTTTTTCTGTTGTTTTAACGTGACTCTATGTGCAGAAATCTGTCCGTTTTGCTGATATTTTCTCCTCCAGCTGAGAGCCGCGTGTCTGTTTTGCCTCTGAAACCTCTAACCCTGCTCTCGTTTTCTCTCCTTGTAGCTTCAGTACCAGGTTGACCTAAAAAACATAAAGGGTAAAGTGTCTGCCATAAAGGACACGCCTGAAATGCTCCGCGTTAAAGAAAACACAAAGAATTTCAGCTCGGTATTTACTCCTTAAAAAAACAACTTCTTCCCCTTTGATTTGGTCTTTCTGGTTTGTCTTCTGGTTTGCCTTTTTTTTTTAAATTCTTAACAACCTCTTATAACTTTGAAGAAAAAAAACACATGTTTTAAAAAAAAAGGACTTCTTTTTTTTTAGACATGCCGCATTTTAATCGAAGCCACTAACCCCTGTGAAGGTGTCCCGTAGTTCAGCATTTTCCCTTTTAGCGCAGAGCTTGTGTGACGTAAAACCGTCTCTTTTCGTGTGTCCTTTTCTTCTTCTGCTCTTTAATCCGTTGAAAAAACCGAGTCCCGACTGTGTGAGAAATTAGGCTAACCCCTGGTTCATGCTTTCGCCCCCCCCCCCGTCCCTCAAAGATTCACTACAAGGAGGATTTGGGAGGAGGAACGGCTTTGCCGGAGACCCCTGAGATGGAGAGAGTTAAACGCAACCAGCGGAACATTAGCACGGTACTCCACCGAGTGGTACCCCCCCCCCCCCCATCACCACCACCACCTCTATGCTTCCTCCATCCTCCTCCACTGACCAGTATCCCACATTTAAAGGGGACATATTATGCAAAAAACAAGTTTTTAATCATTCGATTATGTACATTTGGGACTGTGGAGGGCCTATCAGCAGGCAAAGTGTGAAAAAAAAAATGACTCGGTCGTGTTTTTGTGGGCCGCCTCAGTCTGAATCCAGGAGATAAATCAGGAGGTTTCAGGAGTGGGTAGTTTCTGACGTCATTAGCTCTAGCTCATTATAATATTCCAGCCTTTCACCTGCATGTTGCCCCCCCCTCAGCTTACTCCGCCTATCTGTGGCAGACGTCCTGGTAGCGTGAGCGTTAGCATGGTAGCGTTAGCATGGTAGCATTAGCATGGTAGCGTTAGCATGGTAGCGTTAGCATGGTAGCGTTAGCGTGCCGACGTGGGCACACCTCCCTGAAGAAGTGGGGGGGATTGCCTGTGTCTCATTTGCATTTAAAGAGACAGGCACTCCAAAGCGAGCGCTCTGAACGGGGCTGTTTTGGGTTAGGGTTAGGGTTAGGGTTAGGGTTAGGGTTAGGCAGGGGGACTGAACTGCTATTGGGCTTCATCCTTATGGGATTTTGACCAAAGCTTGTCACAGACATTACATTAGGACACCAGGGAACTAGTTTAACTTGTTGAAATAGGGTATAATATGTCTCCTTTAAACCAGGGCAGACTTCATAAATAATACTTTCCCATGACGACTTCTACACCAGATTCCTTTTAGTTGGAGTAGTCCACTTCCTGCTGGTTGTCGGCCGCCGTGAACAGTTTTAGGGGTTAACCGGCCAAAGGTGTGCTGCTCTCTAGCTAATGAGTAGAAACCTCCCTGGACAGCCAATCGGACATCCAAACCCACTCAGATCTTCTAATAGTTGCAGTATACAGCAGTTGCCACCTTCCCAACTTCCCTGGATCATGGAAAAATTATATTAAATGGATGAATAGATCCCCAAAAGCAAAGGGGGAGAGAGTCGATCTTTCCTAAATAGGTGAGATGGAGCAAATTTTGTTAGCTGAATGTTTCCAAACACCAGCAGGAAGCTCCTGTCGGCCATTTTAACCCTTTAAAGCCCGATCCAAGAAAAATAGGAAGAATTTGGGATTTTTTTTAGTCTGAAGTCTTTCTTTGGCCCCTCAACAACATATGAAGAAAAAAAACTTTAATTATTTTGATCAAATTAGCGTGCAATAAGTCAAAAATGTATTCTGGTGTAGTCTTCTACTGGCTGTTATCAGGTATATCTGAATGTGTACAACAGGGGTTTGAGCAAAGCTTTTACCACTGAATGATGCAGAAAGTCTCAGATGCAAAAGACTTCAGAAACCGTATGAATCAGATATGATACATTTGGCATTTTAGGGTTAAAACAGAGAAAAGCAGCATGAGAACACACTTTTGGCCGTATAGCGTAAATCAATCTGGTCTTCATTGGACGTCATTCATCATGCGTTCGGACTTGAAACCACTTAGAAAATAAGATCCTGGTTAATTTCTCCTAAAAGTGATGAAACCCCCTCCATTTTGCAAATTCCCTCCATGTCTGACATCACTCAACAAAACCCCCCAAACCGCCGATGAACAATGTGATGTCTGATTCTGTCCCTGTGTGACATTTCAATGAGCAGATTCAGTACAAGGACTGTGTGGGTCAGGGCACAGCCATCCCAGATCTGCCCGAGGTCAAGCGGGTCCGAGACACCCAGAAGAATATCAGTCTGGTAGAGAAACAGGCTGCCGTGGCCCCTCCTCCATCTTCATTCCCCAAACTCTAACTGTGGTCAAACCTTTTCCGTTTTCAGAGCTGGTTTCCCTCCCTCCCTCCATCCTAACAACGTCCCTTGAGTCATTCCTTATTCCCGATTTTGGAAAACAGTAGTCCTCCCCTAAATATTCTGCACATCCTGGAGCTTTCTTCTCTTTTAATCGCTAATCTGATTTAAATTATTTCAGAATAGCCACTAAATGTTGTTTTTTTCATGCAAAATCAGTATTTATAGGTGAGTTAAAGGCGGCTCATGTAGAAACTAGTTATTGGGACTCTTTATGTTTGAAAACGGGCTGCTAAACTGGTTTAAAATATTTAAGAATAGCCACTAAATATTGGCCTTTTCATCGAAAATCAGTATTTATTGGTAAGTTAAAGGCCGCTCATGTAAAAATTTGTTAGTGGGACTCTTTATTTCTGAAAACGGGCCGCTAAACTGGTTTTAAATAATTA